TGTGTGTGTGTGTGTGTGTGTGTGTGTGTGTGTGTGTGTGTGTGTGTGTCTCCAGGACTGTCACCTGCCTCATCCCGGCTGCTGGTACACTACGATCTTCATGAGCCCCGACACTGCAGAAAGCTGAGACGCTGCTACAGAGCCCGGTTAATTGGTTGTTAATCAGAGAGTCTTCGCTTGGGAGAGATCGGCCTTCCCAGCCCCCACTATCTCAGTGTAAAGTATCCTGGGTCTGTCACCCAGCAGTCACTGCAGCCTGTGCTCATCTGTCCTCTGTGGCCTCTTGGTCAGCGCTTAGAGGGCTTCCAGGTGTCTGTGGGAGACAAGCCTTTGTCTTTCCATCCCCCTCACTCTGGTAGGCTCCAGGAAGGGGGCTGGGTGGTCCCCAGATGCTGGGGCAGAGGAGGGAAGGGAAGAGGGGGGAAGGGGTCTAGCCCAGACAAAGGGGGGCTTCCAGCTCTTGGAACTCGAGCTGAGGAGAAACCAGATCCCGAAGGGGGCTAGCCAGAAAGTGAGTGATTAATGAGGGAGATTAAGAGATTAAATTTGGGGTCTGGGTTTGGGGGAGCACTCAGCTGTCTCCTCCACAGCCCCTCACCCATCCTGAGGGCATGGACTCTTCCATGGGTCAGCCCCCCGGGAACCCACCTCCTCAGATTACCCTGAGACATTTCCCATCCTCTGTCCTCCCCTGCAGAGCCTGCATTCCACTCTGAACGTTCCACTTACAGTATCCGTGCGTCCTCAGGCCTCCCCCTTCTCTCCACCTCCTCGACCTGCCCCCAGCCAGCCTTGGCCACCCCAGACTCTGGTGAGCACCCGCTCCTGGGCCAGGCAAGGGCCCCTTGCAGCGCAGGAAGACTTACCTAGGGATTCCTCACTACTCAGCCCTCTGAATTCAGTGTGGGACCCCCCCAAACTGGCCCCCAGGGGCGGACGGTGACCTCAGGGTCATGTTGGTCCCTCACCTGTAGGGGACGGCGGGGGCGGATGTGCATGTCCAGCCGTCTCAGGAGCACTCTCCTACGTTGCTTTCTGTTTCTGTGGCTGCACTGCGAACCCATTTTGATCGGGTATGCGCGCACTTCCCGGCTGGCCCTGTGTCCTCGCTGGAAATGCCTGCGCAGCTTGCAGCCAGTGTCCAGGGTCCCCGGCCATATAGGGTAGCGGCTGAGAACACGCCCTGAGACACACTGTTGCAGAGAAGTCCCTTTTCTGCCTTCTCCAGAGACCGCGGAGGCGCTGGCCGGACCGAGAGGGGGACCAAGGTCGGAGCAAACGTTGGTGAGTCCCGGGCCACCATGCTGCCTCCCGGAGAGGTAGGCCTGATGGAGAAGAGCGTCCAGGGAGGAAGAGCTGCGGGCCTCGTTCATTTCCGCAGAGGAATCCTGGCCAACAATGGGCGGAGACCTGACAGATCCTGGGGCGAAGGGCGAGGTCCGGAGCGGACCTGCCCCCCACCCTGTGTCGACACAGGGAACAGGGAAAGCCTTGCAGAGCGCGCACCTGCCGGTGGTGCCAGCCACCTCGGGAGAAGGCCCATTGCAGACAGACAGACAGTAAGTTCTGTGGTCCCGCTGGTGCAGACGAAGCACGGCTGGCTGTTCTGCTTATGACGCCCCAGGATCCAAGGATCCAAGCGTCAGCGCACCTTCCGTTGCTCTGATTCCAGGTCCTCTGTCTCCAAACCTCCTCAGACTTCTGGGCTCGCCAACAAGGCTTTGTGGAAGCCCAAGCTCACGGGGCATGGGGGGGGGGCGCTTGGCCTGGAGTCCTGAACGCGGAAAGGTCCCCAGAACGTTTCCACGCCCCTCGCCCCCACATCTCTGCTCCAGTTACCTCCGTAGAAATGATCTTTCACTCAGAGACTCTCCACACCCCCACCCATCCCCTCCCCTTCCCCCCAAAACTCCCCTGGGTGTCCACGTGCTTAAAGCAGGAGATTGAAATCCATGTAAAACCTGTGTAGGTGCAGAGGGGCGCCCCATGGGTGCAGCCACTTAGGGTCTGGCTGCGGGCTGGCGTCCTGGGTGGTGGCTGGGCCAAGACAAGGGGGTGAGGAGAATACAGGGAGCAGGGTCCCCGGCTCCCGAAGACTAGGGTTATCTCAGGCTATCTCGAAGACTATCAGGAAGAGGGTGGGACCTAGGCCACCACAGTACCCATCCCAGGCTGCTGGCCCCACCACAGCCAAAGCGCTGCTGTGCGCATGTTTTAAATCCTGGCCACTGGCCCCCGGTCCCCTTCAGCAGCAACCCTGCTCGTGACAAGCTCGCTGCTGCTGGCTGGGCAGGGTGGGTTGATGGCTGCCCGCTGTCAGAAAGGCCCAGAACAGCCTCTACAGAAGGAACCTCGCCTGATCCGGGCCATGGCTGGTGCTATGGTGTCAATTCCTCTTTGAATGCCTCTCTACTTTCCCAAGCATTGTGGGCCTGATCCTCCTGTTCATTTATATTTTAGTGGGTTTCTATAAATCTCATTGGTTTTCTAATCACTCATACTTTGTGACATTAATTATAATTGATCACTTTTGGCAATGTGTACTCAAACTTACTGTACACTGTTTTTCTCTTTATGTACCTCGCCTAGTGGTATCTACCCTCTCCTCATCCTTTCAAGACTGATGGTCTTTCCTTAGTTGTTAAATGTTAGTAACCTGAGGGTAACCTGGAGAGAAAGGGGTTGTGGGACTACTCAAAGGTTCACCTCCACATCTGCATGATTAACTGCCTCTGAGAACTGGCCGGAGGGTTGGCTGCAAGCCGGTTCAGACTTGATGTCAATTTGTGTCATTGTCCTTTCTCCGGCTCAGGGATTGAGGACAATCTGTTTGAGTCTGTGCAGGTTTTCAGCTATTCCTGATTATTTTTCCGTGTATCCTACTACTCCGTCGTGAGCATGTACCTGTTTCTTTAGCCATTCACCCTCCGATACACCCGGGGGCTGTTTCCAGCTTGTACTACTGTAAATACTGCTGCCGGGGTACAGGTGTTTGTAGTCAGTCTTGTAGGGTTAAGTTGACCAAGGCAGGAACTGCCTGGGTTAAAACAATGTCATCTAGAGAAGTACTCAGGACAAAACAAACCCTCGGTTTGGGGACAAAACCTTGATTCTCCCGCTGATACTTCCTTCTGATGTGGTTATAGGAACAGGGTAGGTCACCAAATAAGAAACAGCGGAAAACATCTTGAAGCTCAGTTAACATATTTTGTTGCTTATGTGACGAGAAACTTCTCAGGACGAGGATGAGCCCCAGTCAGGACACCTGACCATGAGCCCCTCTCCCCTTACCTCTTGGATAAGGGTTGTCGCATCGCCCGACACTTTCCTGCCAGACAGAGCCGCTCAGCAAGTCCATGGCACAGCTCTGCTTTCTTTGGGGTAGAGACCTCATAGTGAAATTGCCCGATCAAATGGTATTCCTATTGCCAGCTTTCTAAGGAAGTGGGCACTAGCCCTTCCTGTTAACAGGGCCAGCGTGTGAGACGAAGACGTCAGCTAGGTACATTCCTGGTGTCCAGTGAACGCATCCTGAGCTCGGCACCTGCTGGGGAGTCAGGGCGGGGTTACCCTGAAGCCCTCTCCTGCCGCTCTGCACACTGGCCTTGCCCTCCTCTTGAGGTCCTGCTCTCTCAGGCACTCTCTCCTCGCCCTGGCTTCACCCGGCCTCTCAAGACAACCCACCGAGGCCGCCATGACCAGCCAGGCTTCCGACGCCAACTACGCTGAGACTTCTTTCACTCACCCAGTCATCTGTGCAGCCACGTCCACTTCGAGTGCTGTGGTCTCCCCCGTTCCGAGTGGGACACCCTCACGTGGGCCCTAAGCATTCAAGGATGGCTGAAACCCTCCCTTCCCCTTGCAAGAGCTGGTGGGTGCCTGGCTCCCGCGAGCTCCTCCTCAGAGGGTCACACCTGTAGACTCTCCCCTTTGGTAACATGTAAGCAGCCAATGATGCAGAGTAGAGAGGCCTGGTTCCTCAGTGTGAGGGAAGCAGGATGTGGTGCTGGGACACTGAGGAAGGAAGGTGGTGGGCGGTTTTGTTTTTTTTTTAAAAGTTTTTATTTCAAAAAATAAAGCCACAGTTCATTTTACATAAATATCTGGGGAGGGCGGGAGGGGGTGGGGGAGCAGGGGCTTGGCCCCTACCTCCTCTTCTCTTTTACACTGTACTGTAAGAGCAAAGGAGACGGCTAGACAGAGAACAAGGAGACGTGGTCAGTGGGCACGCACCTGCCGCAGGCCACCCCGGCCCACCTCCGCCCGGCCTGGCTCACCTTGCCGAACCAGCGGGACAGCCAGATCTGTTTCATGGTCATGTGGTCGGGGAGGACTTCGTTGTCGAAGAGCAGCTGCACCTACGAGGAAGGGGGCCGGGCAGAGCGTGTGACACTGTCCCTCGGAGTGTGGACAGGGTACTCATCTCCCCTTAGCTCCCTTTAATTCCAAAGGAAAAAAGTCAGCAGATCAGAACCACTGCCGTGGCCTCACTCACGTGCTGGGGGCTGAGCATCAGGCGATGACACAGGACCCTCCGGAGGTGGCGGACCTCCGCTCGCACAGAACACCGGACGTATTTGTTCTGGGGTTGGGGAAGGGACAGAAGAAGGTAACAGAGGGGGTGAGGGGAGAGCTATGGGGAGGTAAGTCTCCCGGGAGGCCCCCCTCAGCCCTTCTCACCTGCAGGACACTTTTATTCTTGTCTTTGCCAGAACTGTGGGGAAACAGACACACGTTTGTTCGGGGCCCCCAGCATTCCCTCCTTTCCCCTCCCAGAGCCACAGGCCTCCCTTCCTGCTCCGCCTGGCCACTCACCTCAGCCGTTCCAGGCACAGGCTCAGCTGCTCGTCGTAACGGTAGTAGTGGGCCTTCGAGTGGTCGAAGCTGCTGAAGGGCAGGCCAAGGTTGCTGAGGGCTGGCTCTGCGAGAGACAAGGAGTGACGCGGGAGGGGCGCAGGGAACACGCCCCACTTTCTTCAGAAGATGCCATTCTGGTGGCTTCTGTTGGCTCTCCGACAGCCAAGACCTTACCTTCCCCACTGGGCTGGGTGACCCGGTCCAAACCCCTTGACTGGTAGAACTCCCGAATCCGTTTCTCTTCGCCTAGTAAAGAATGACATGGTGTTGTTGGACACTGGCCAGTTGGAAGCGACTCCTAGCTGACGCTTCTGCAGGGTTTCAGAAGCAGTGAATCGCACGGGAGGAGACTGCCCGTCTTTCTCAAGAAAAGCAGCTGCTGCTGGGTTCAAACCGCGTGCCCCTGGGTTGGCAGCACAACTCCTTACCAGGCCACCAGGAACGGATGATGGGACGTGTGAAAGTGTGCGTGTGTAAAGCAGTGAGAGCTGGGATGAGACGGGGCAGCCTTGGGTTTCTGGAGCATACACTGTCCTTGGCAGTTCAGAACCCCTCCTCCGGAGCACCCAGGAACTTTCCCTCCCCTGGCAAACCTCCGCTGTGGTGTCAGCACTCCGCTGGCCTCTGCCCTACGGCCAGCAATCCCTTCACCCTCGGGGTTCCCACTAAAGCCCCTCGACACTCCCCATCTGTGCCCCCCGCTCAGAATCCGAGTGGCCACTCACTGTCCTGCAGGCCAGGCACCAGCTTGTACACGATGTCCTGCATGACCCGGTCCAACTTGAGGTTGAGCAGGGGCTGTGTCTCGTGGATCTTGATGTTACACATAGGGCAGTACTTGCTGGTCTGCAGGTACTTCACGATGCAACTTTTGCAGACTGCAGGGAGAGAGGAGGGCGGGCGCTGATGCCCCTGCTGGACGCCAGTTCGGCTCTGGGAGGGGCGCGCAGGGGCCGCCGGCTTGCGGGCGGCTGGGGTAGGGGGGCGGCCCGGCCACTCACACGTATGGAGACACTCGGTGATGGTCGTGGCGTCCACGAAGTAGCCGGCGCACAGGCAGCAGACGATGTGCTCGTTCAGGTCTTTGATCTTCACGCGCACCTCCTCCTGCGGACACGCCCTCTGTCACCTTCCCGGCTCAGATCCCTGGACCACGGCCATCGGGAGGGCCGCGCGGCCGGGGCCGGACACCCCTCGGGCCGCACGGGGTCCGCGCGCGGGGGGCACCCTGCACGTGCACCGCCGACCCTTCCCGGGGGAGCCTCCGCGACGTGGGCGGCGCAGCGCGCACGCGCGCTAACCCGGAGTTTGGCAGCCAGATGGGAAGCGCGCAGGCGCGCTCGGGACCCCCTCTGTGCGCAGGCGCACTGGGCGCCCGGCCAGCCACCGCCCGTGCTCCAGCCGGCCTCGGTTCGCGCCGCCAGCCGGCCGCGGCAGTCACCCCGCCGCCCCTGCACCTCGTTCCGTAGCGGGTCCATCTTGTACACTGACTGGAGCTGGTTCCGCAGCCTCATCGCGATCGCAATCTGGCCCCCCTGAGGAGACGCCATCTTAAAAGCGGAGCCCGGCCTGCCACTTCCGGTGCCGTGTGCGGGGCGGGACTTGTCTCCCGGCAACGGGGGCCGGGGCCTTTGCGGATTGGCGGGCCGCCCGCGAGGCCCCGCCCACGCCCCCTGTCTCCCCGTGCACTCACCTGAGCCCCGCAGGCCCCTCCCCCTCCCCAGGCCGGGGTTAGGGCGGGTGGGGGGTGATCAGAGGGTCCTAACACGCCCACCTCCCGTGGAACGCGTCAAAGTAGACGCCGCCCGGGCCCGGGACGAACTTTCCGAGCCTGCAGACGGCTGCAGGGCGCCCCTGGACAGGCCGGGCTGCCTCCTCCCGCCGCTGCCGCCCTGGCGCGGGGGGTCCCCGGGCCCCCAGGACGACGTCCCCATCCCCGGCCCGCCGGGCGCCGCGCGGCTGCGCCCCTGGGCCAGCGTCGCCCCGGCCTCCTGGCCGGAGTCGGTCCCAAGGGGTGGCCGAGTGGGGGCGAGCCCCCCAGGGACGCTGGAGCGAGCCTGGCCCCCCTGCCTCCCCCGCCGCCCGGCCCTGCTTAATGATGATGATTTAATCACCGGCGCCTGCCGAGGCCTGGGACAGACTAATGCAGAGCAGATGCCGCGGAGGAGGGAGGCCGAGCACCAGCCGGCCTCCAGCAGCCCGCCTGCGGTAGCATGGGCCCAGCTCCACGCTGCCCGGCCAGCTGATGGCCAGCGGGGCTCCCACTCAGGCCACCCCCTCCCGCCGGGCATACGGGGCTCGTGCATCTCCCCGGGAGGGGAGAGAGACGGCGCCCTGCTGCCTCCCGTGCGACACCTGCTGGGAGGGTCCCGGCGCCTGGCCCACTGCCTGCAAAGGCAAGGTCAAGTTCAGCGGGGAGAGATACAGCCAGGGGGCTCCCTGGAGGCAACGACGGTGAAACAGACCTCGGTCATGGGTCAGGAGGGGCCAGAGCTTGGAAAAGGACATCCTGCTGCAAGGTGTAGGGGTCAGGGAAAGAGAGGAAAGCCCTCAACGAGATGCATGGAAGCAGCGGCTGTAACAGTGGGCGGGAGTGTACCAGAGGTGGTGAGGACGGCCAGGACAGACAGGGTTCAGAGCGGCGGTTCCCAGGCTCGCTGGGAGCGGTTGATGACTGGATGGCACCAAACCACATCATTTATACCAAGTGCAATCGAGACAAGGGAGCCACCCCCAGTGACTTGAGATGTGGGGTGTTCTGTGGGTACAGTTTGGAGCAGCGGTGAAGAGTGTGGTGGACACAGGGAAGGGCTTGTCAAAGGGAGGAAGGAGACGATGGGAAGGAGGCCAAGGCAAGGGCTGAAGGGGGGGGACTCGGGCTCAGGGCCATAGGGAGCTGGCCACCTTCTGAAGGGAGAGGGTTCCCTTATTCAAGGAGCATTTTGTTATCAAAGTGACTTGGAACGAAGAGTCAGGAAGTTTAGGTGGATAATGATTTATTAATGACTTCTCCACAAGGTGTTCCTAGCAAACAGGATGGTAAAACTTGGTCTCATACACTCGGGGCATCTTGTCAGGGTGGGGGGGCTAGCCTTTGGAGAAAGACACCATGTTGGGGAAGGTGGAGAGGGTCAGAGACAGAGAGGAGGACCCTCTGCCAGATGGGCTGACACGGTGCAACGATGGCCTCAAACAGCCGAGGTGGCGAAGGTGGCCCAGGACAGGTCAGGGTTCAGGTCTGTTCTTACAGGGTCACTGTGAGTCCTAGTCTACTTGCTGGCCCCTGACAACAGCAGCCACTTCTCACTGCCCCTGGTCTCCACCGTCTTGATTCCGAGTCCTTTTCACCCACCACTGCCTCTCTTAATCTGATCTCGGCATGGTGAAGTCAGCCCGGTTCTGTGAAAACATACAATGGGCCGAGGGTACGTTTTCGAGGCGATGAGCTAAGGCATCTGTGATCTGGATTGCCATGGTACCCTTTAAAGATGGACAGTGTCTTGTATTATCAGCTACACCTCAGGAAAGCTACTGAAATGGCAAGTAATAAACCAGGCTGCTCCTCCGCTTCTCTGTAAGCACCTCTTTGCCATCAGAATAAAAGCCAAGTCCTCCTCAGCGTGGTCTTCAAGCCTGTGCGGCCCCTTCTGTCCACCCTCACGGTTGTTCCGCAGTCACGGTTGATGCAGGTGGACCTGGTCCCGCTAGCTCCCTACAGGGATTGCTTTCTGCTCAGGTATCCAAGTGGCTCCCTCTTGTGCTGCCACACAGAGGTAGGCGTTTCAAATCCACCAGCTGCTCCATGGGAGAAAGTTGGGCAGTCTTTACTGGACGGTTAGTTCTGAGTCAACAGCACAAAACAACGTTGCTTCCTCCAAGCTTTTACCCAGATGCCGCTTCCCTGGGGTTTTCCCTGACTGCCTGAGTCTCCTCTCTTTATCCTTCCTGGTTATGTGTGTCCATCTTAGCATTTATTATGATACATATGACACTTTGCTTTGCTTTTTTAAAAAGTCTGATTATCATAAGAGTCTGGAATGAGGGTTGCAGAGTGGAGTATACTTTGGGGTGGGGTGGGGGTGTGCAGGGGGGATTGTATACCAATGAAGGAGTTTTTCCAAAAGAAAACTTGAAAAGCAAAACTTTTCAAGGAGAAGAGTGAACTGGGGGTGGGGGTGGGCGAGGAGAAAAGTGCAACAATGAATGAATGGAAATCCAAAATATAGATGTGCATTGAAATTAATAAAGGGAAAAAAGTCTCTCCCTCACTAGCATGTAAGCTCTATAGTGGTAGGATTCCCCCCCCCATCTTGTGTTCACTGCTTTATCTCCAGCAAGCTGGGAACACATCAAGCGTTCTGGGTAAGTTTTCTGGACGAGGAAATGAATGATTCGCAGTGGTGGTGACAAAGACTTTAGAGAAATGGAAAGGGAGGGCTGTCATCTGGAATATTTCAGAGGAAGCATTAGAGGAGGAAGTAGTGAGGGATTTGGTTCGGGCTCTGGCTAAGAAGGTGAACCCAGCACCGGGGAGGGAGGATGGCCCCCAGCCCCGTGGACTTAGGCAGCAACAGAAAAGCCAGGGCACCTGGACATAGGCTGGATGCACTAGAAGTGCCAAAGCAGGGTGGAGCCTCCCAGGTGTCCGAGGGGGACAGGAGGAGAGAGCCTTGGGGTTGTTGGAGTCTAAGGGGATATAGCAGGCTGGACTCTGAAGAACATTCCAGCTTAGACGGAGTAACCAAGGCAATGCAAGAAAGACAGACATCCGTGGCTGTGAAAATCCAGAGATGGCAAATAAAACAATGGGATGGAAATCAAATTGGACATTTTTTTTAAAAAGTTGGCAACTTAGAAAAAACTTTGGAGCTCTGATGTCCCAGCGGGCAGGGCCATGCTGGTAACATAAAGTTGGTACCTCTGGTGGTTCGAACCTACCACCTGCAGGGGAGAGATGGACATTCATGCAATTCACAGCCTCTGAACACCCACTGGAGGGTCAGCTAGGGACAGTTCAGACTGGATGGCCATGAGGTGTATTATAAATGGGAAGGGTTTACATAATACAAACTCTGTCAAGTCAGAAGCGGTTAATAGGCAGCTCTCCACTGGGCTCACGAGGGTGTAAAGCACAGAGCAGGAGAAGGCTCAGAGCGTTCGTCCATCAAAGCTGCTGGTCGGTCTGAACCGGCAGAAAGGATCAGCAGCACAACTGTTGATGGGTAGACTTAGTTGTGAATGGTTACCAGGGTCGGGGCAGAGGGAAAGGCAGCTAAAAGAAATAAGTAGAAAAGGCAAAGGCAGAGCAATGTACAGGGTATCTGTCATTAATGATATTTATATGTTGTAATTAATACTATACAAGTTAGGAATGATCAAATGAAGTTGTAATTCTGTTTTAGTAGGAAATCTCTAGAAATGATCATATTTAAAAAGCCAGTATGATTTGTAAACTTTCACATAGAAACCAAATAAAACCCTCAAGCCCACTGCCTTGAGTCCAAGCCAATGACCTGACCCCCGCCCAGTGCGTGTCCAGGGGCTGTAAGTCACTGCCCACCTTTCTGACTCAGAGGAGATGGTGGACTTGAACGGCATTAAGGAAAGAGCTGGTGGGCGATCAATAAAGTAAATTATGCCATAGCATTGACCTTGGCCAGTGGCGTTCTCTGTGCAAGGGTCAGTGTAGTAAAGCCGGCTGGCAGTGTGTTCAAACAAAAGTAGACGCTGAGTGAACAGAGCCAATGAGTGTGGGTGATCTGATCAAGAGAAAGAGAAGCTGAGTTTCTTTCCAAGAAGGTTTTGTGGAGAGGACAGAGCTGGTGACACAGCTGGGTGTGGGGAGAAGTAAGGGGAGGAAAGAAATGATGACACAGGAGGGCGAGGCAAGGTCGGCAGGTGGTGGGGAGCACGGGAGGAAGACAAGGGGGCCAGCGTGAGAAACAGGTGGGGGCAACATGCAGGTAGGAGATAGCAGACAGGTCCACGGGTCTGTGTGTACCCCAGGTTTCTATGTGTGTGCCCGCCACGGGCACACCTGTGCTCATCCTAGGTCTCTGTGCCCACCGTGGGGACACGTGTGCTCACCCCAGGTCTGTGTGTGTGCCCACCGGGGGTACACCTGTGCTCACCCCAGGACCTGCACCCACCTGAGGGTGGTCTGTGTACCTGACAGTCGGAACTGGGGCCAGCAAGAACCTGGTATCTCAAGTCAAGCAGAGACTCCTAGCACTGGGCCTGCAGACGGCTCTCTTCGCCCTGACATGGGTCACTGATTGGATAGTTGTTTAGACTCCTCAGGATGTGGTTCTATGAGCCGTTTCCCTGACGGGCTCATCTGGATATTCTCTGGTGGGGGTGCCTGGGTGCTGAGCCCCAGAAGCTGGCCAGGCAGAGTGGGGCCGCCTTCACTGACTGCCAGCGACTCACTGGAGAGTACTGGACGTGGGCGGAACCACCGGGCCATGATTCTCTGAACCAGACACACATTGTGCCCAGAGTGGAGTGTAGGGCGCAAGGGCTTCAGAGCTACAGACCCCAGACACGTGTCCTCTCTGTGCGTCCTAGGCTTCCATTGTCCCTCACCTCCTCCCAGGACCGCCTCTCAGAGTTTTGCCTAAAGAGCAGAGACCCCTAATTTGCCTGCTCCCCGTCCCCCCCTCCGTGGCCTTGTGTCCCCTTTACTGCGGAGGAAGGGCGCTGGGAATCCCGTCCACCGCTGAGTGAGGGGCTGCGGCGGCTGCCTGTTTCCCCCCCCTCCCCCAGATAACACCCTGGCTGTGGGGGACTGTGAGCTGACAGAGGAGAGCGGGAAGACCTGGCCTGGAGGAGGCCGTGACTTAGTGTGGAGAAGGTTACTGATTCTGTTGGGGTCTGAGTCAGTCATTTTGCCGGCACCTAACACCGTCCGCCTTCCCAGCACACACACAAACTCGGGGTCCCCCACCTGGGGGCTAACCCTCCTTTGGGAGGTCTGGGAGGCCAGTGGCTTTGGAGTGGAGGGGGGGTCTACTCCCCTCTCTTAATCGCCCTTCTCAGACACCCAAGGAGCACTCCCCATTCCCAGGAGAGATGGACCCCTCACCCTGCCCCGGGCGCCAGGCTGCCGGCCCATCTGCTGGGGAGAAAGTGGGGCCAGCGGCTTTCCCTGGGGACCCCGAGGGCGGTTCGGGAGGGGAGCCCCACCCTCCCGTGGAGAGCCTCGCGTTGCTGGGCGGGGGGGATGCAGCGGGCCGGGGTCCTCGTGGCGGTCCGCGGGGCCCCCCGCTGCTCTTTCGCGCCCACCAGGCCCGGGATGGCCCCTCCCCGCGCCCGGCTTCACCGGCTCGGAGGCGCCAGGGCCCCCCCCGGGGGCGGGCCGGGCCGGAGAAGGTAATGCAATTGCTGCCCAGCTAACCCGATTAGGGCGGCCTGCACCGGGCCGGGCGGCGGCAGGGGCGGGTCTAGGGCGCGGCGCCGGCGGGGGTCCCATCCTTGGGAGGAGGGGCGAGGGGGGTTCGCACACTGTCAGCTCCGGGTCACAAGGTCATGGAGGAGCCGCTTCCCCGCTCCTCCCCCCACGGTCGGGGCAGTTTCTGGAGCTCGGGTGGGCGGAGGATCAGTGGGGTGCAGGGAGGCCAGGACCCCAAGACCAAAGTGCGGGCTCGCTGTCACTGTGGCGATTTGCCCCCTCACCTGGGCGGGGCGCGCGTGGGGGCTCACGATAACTGAGAACCGGTCTTCCAGGCGCCCCGGGCGGCGTCCGCGGCTGGAGGCCCCCTACGTCTACCGTCCGAGGCGGAGGCCAGACCCCAGTCCCTGTCCTCTCCTAACTGGCCAGGTCGAGCCGGTCCGCTCTGCTCCGATCTTGCGAAATCCAAGTTCTAAGGCTCCCCAGGCCCCCGGTTCCCAGAGCAGCGCACGGGCGCGGGGGCCCCCGCGCGAGGCCGGGCCGGGGTCACTGGCGCCGCGGGGCCGCCTCTCCCTCCCCCCGCTGCAGGTCGCAGGCCGTGCGCCTCGGGGCCGCGCCCACACCTGTCGGTGCTCCGCTCGGCCTGCAGCTCGCCGGCGCGTCCGCAGCCGCCTCCCGTCACCACCGGAGACAAAACGAGATTGGGCCTCTTGGGGCACCGGGGCGCGGCCCACAACGAATCCGGGGCTCCGCGGGCAGCGTCCATCGGACGGCGGGGCGGGGGCCGGGGCGCCTGCCCGGGAGGCCGGTGGGAACAGGTTCAGGCAGAGGGCGGCGGGGACCAGGCCGCGCGCACCGCGCTGACTCAGCGGAGCCGTTCCGCGGCCCGCATCTCCCCGCCCCCAGCCCGCAGGCCTGGGGCGCACAGGCGGCTCTTCCCCTTTAACAGCCGGCCCCGCCCCTGCCCGCCCCCACCCCTCACGGCCCACCGGTCCTCAGTCACTGCGCGGCGGGAGCCGGTCCACCCTGTCCACCGAGGACCCGCGTCCATCCTCGTCCAGGGCGCTCCGGGCCCTGCCCACACCCACGGGATGAGCGGCCCTGCGCGCGCCCCGGACAGCGCAGTCCCAGGGATGCTGCTGACCCTGGGGCCCCCGTGCGCCCCGCTGGCCGGCCCTGCGGGGCCCTGAGGCCAGACTCCGGGAGCTGCCCAGGCGCCCTCCCTCCGCCACTGCCCTTGAGGTCCTGCCTGCCCGGACCATGGAGCCGGCCGTGCTGGCCACGCACCACCTCCCGCACCACGAGCCCATCAGCTTTGGCATTGACCAGATCCTGAGCGGCCCTGAGCCTCCCGGGGGCGGTCTGGGCCCCGGCCGAGGGGGCCCGGCTCCTGGGGAGAGCGCGGCCTTCTCAGGGGGCTTCCACGGAGCTCCAGGCTATGGCCCGGCGGGCCCGCTGACGCCGCTGCCCGGAGGCTCGGGCGTGGGCTCCGGCGCGGGCCCGGGTGTGATCCGAGTCCCGGCGCACCGCCCGCTGCCCGTGCCACCGTCTGCAGCCGCCGCGCCCGCGGGGCCCTCGGGCTTGGGCGGCGCCGGGGGCCTGGCTGGACTCACCTTCCCGTGGATGGACAGCGGCCGCCGCTTCGCCAAGGACCGGCTCACGGGTGAGGTTGCCTAGCCCCTCTGGCTCCTGGCCACGCTGCACGGCGGCCTCTCCGTGGGTGTGCGCGCATCGGTCCGCGTTCCCTTGCATGTGTTTCCACCCTACCCAGTTCATTCTGAGGGTCCCCCCATCTCGCACGTTGGGGATGTCGCGGCGGGGATGGGGTGGAGAAGAGGCAGGCGCTGCCCGCGGGGAAGTCTGGGCGGTCCCCCGCCTCGCTCTGGGAAGCTGTTCTTTCCAGGTGGTTCGGGACCCCATTGACCCGGGCTGGAGGCGGGGACACCTGGGGCCCCACTCTTCTCTTCTTGGTCCTTGGTCCTCCCCGCAGCCGCTCTGTCGCCCTTCTCCGGGGCCCGGCGCATCGGCCACCCCTACCAGAACCGCACGCCCCCCAAACGGAAGAAGCCCCGCACGTCCTTCTCGCGCGCGCAAGTGCTGGAGTTGGAGCGCCGTTTCCTGCGCCAGAAGTACCTGGCGTCGGCCGAGCGCGCGGCCCTGGCCAAGGCGCTGCGCATGACCGACGCGCAGGTCAAGACGTGGTTCCAGAACCGGCGCACCAAGTGGCGGTGAGGCGGGTGGGCGGCCGGAGGGTCCCGAGGGCCGTGGGCTGGGGGACGCGCCCCGCGGGGGTCCCGATCCCCTCATCCTCGTCCTCTGTGCCCCTCGCCAGGCGCCAGACGGCGGAGGAGCGCGAGGCCGAGCGGCACCGGGCAGGTCGCCTGCTCTTACGGCTGCAGCAGGACGCGCTGCCCAGGCCCCTGCGGCCGCCGCTGCCCCCGGACCCGCTCTGTCTGCACAACTCGTCGCTCTTTGCGCTCCAGAACCTGCAGCCCTGGGCTGAGGACAACAAGGTGGCCTCTGTGTCTGGACTGGCCTCAGTGGTGTGAGCGCCGCGGCCTGGACGCAGCTGCCCCTGGGGTGTGGCCACCAGGCACCGCAGGTGGACGCGGCCACTCTACCCAGACGAGGCCTTTGCCGCACTTTCTCACGCCAGTGTCCGCTTGGACTCTGCACCGAGTGGGCGGGACCTGCAGGCTGGTAGCCAATGAAGCACTCGGAGGAGGACGGGATGGCCAATGGGCGCTGCTCTCTAGACCCCGGACTTGGGGCGCGTCGGTGGACCGCGGATGGACCTGGAGTGGTGGCCCGGAGGCCGTGTGGTGTGGGGGCACCGGGTCCCCTCCGCTGGATCTATGAGAAAGCTGTGAAGGGGGGGCCTCGCTGGAGCTTGAGAATCTGTCAGGGACCAGAACGCTGTCCACACCGGAACCGCATCCCTCAACTGTCCAACAACCGCAGAGGATTCCGACCCGTGACAAAACCGCCTCCTCGTGGTGTCGTGTGTGGTCAGCGTGCTGTGTCTTCCCACGTGACCCTCCACGCCCTGGGAGGTAGGCCGGGGGGTATCTGTGCGCGAACCGGAAAGTGAACCTAGGGAGATGGAGCTGTCTCGGGTCCCCTCCCCGAGAGAAGCAGCAGTGGGCAGTTATCCCACGTCCCGTGGATAATCCAGGGCGAGAACGGGGTGTATCGTTTGGACGTGATGGAGCCAAGAAGTGTCAGAAGAATTCCAGGGTTAACAATGTGGATGGAGGAACAGGAGGACAGTGGCGCGCGCGCGCGTGTGTGTGTGTGTATGAGATGGAGAAATTGGGGAAACTGAAGTGCGGTGAAGTCTGTGGGTAAATGACCTCCTAGCCCTGGAAGGAAAGACGTCTGGAAAAACATTTTGATGCAAAAGCTTCAGAGCAGTTCACTGTGGTTCAAGCCCTCCCCCAGACAGCACTGTCTACACTTGGCGACACCGAACAGCGGTCTGCACAGCAGACAGAAGGACAGCCACCCGGGTGCCCCTTAGCGGCAAGGATGGGGAAACTCTCACATTCTGGGGGCTTGATGGCTGGAGGGGCGTGTCCATAGAAAAAGACATCACGCTGGGAAAGGCGGGAGAGATGGACTGACATACTGCCTGTACCGTGTCAGACGCGAGGGGGACGGACGGGCCGGCATAGGGAGGGTGTTAGACCTGCCGTTCACAGGGTCACCCTGACTCGGGCTTCACTGATGGCTGCCATGACAGCCCCAGGCACATAGCCCCCGAATCTGCGTGCTCAACACGATGAGCGATGAGCGGGCAGTTCAGTGTCTCTGGGGTGGAAAGGCAAACTCTCCCAGAGGCGGAATAAGCCCGGGGAGATCTGAAGCCTCCTTTTCTGGAGGTCAGCTGACATCTGTCCAGGGCAGAGACAGAACCCAAGGGCTGATGGGGTCCTGGGTGGAGGCTGAGGAGAATGAGCAAATTCTACCCCTTCTCTGTAAAGTGCGGGGTCCTCATGGTCCCAGGGAAGGGGGACACGGGGTGCCTGGCTGGAGGGAAGGACAGTGGGATGTTTGTGAAGCTGCTAGGACTTCAAAGCTCTCTCAGGTCATGGGCTGCTGCCGAGTTTGTTGTTGGGAAGCTGGGAGTTAGAGGATGGGCCGCTGCGCCCGGGCTTGAAAGGCAGCAGGGTTTAAGTTGTGTGAAGACAAAAACCCTGGGCCCATTGGGACGGCACCCGCTGGAGGCAGTGTGCTAGGGGACAGGGAGGCAAGCAATATGACCATGTGTGGGTGAAGCACTTGTGTTTGGTGCCCGTGGCAGCCATGTGGTTCAGCACGGGAAGGCTTCATCAGAGGGGGACCGAGCAGAAGGTGGAGGGCTGAGCCTGGGGGGACTGGAGGGCTAGGCCTGGGCCTCTGATTCCGTGTAGTCTCTGCCTCATGGTGGTGTTTACAGTGCCGCGGAAGCCAACCAGACCTGGTGTCACGGGAAAGTCTTTTATGGAGCACAAGGACAGGTCTGGCTCCAGCTGGGAGGGAACGTGTCCCGGCTTCTCAAATAAATAGGGGCCCGCTGGGGGGAGGGGCCCGCTGGGGGTGGAGCTCCATCCAGTCTTCCACTCCGAGCCCACCTTTTCTTGGGACCCTAATCTTCGGTCTTCTAGCCCAGAGGAGGGTCTCGTGTGATGAGGTCGGGCCCCCCACTCCTGAGGCAGCTCACTGCAGGACGCAGGGATCCCCGATTTTCTGCGGGGCGGGGGGCTCTGTCTGTGGTGACGGCTCTGCCATTTCCTCCCTCAGCTGGTTCAGGAGGTCTCTGCTCTCACTGGGGGGTAAGTTGCTCAGGAAGTATGGGGGTGCCAACTCCACCAGCCTGCCAGAGAGTCGCCCTTAGCTCATATGTCTTTTCTCACGGGCTGGCTCTCCACGCTCCCACAAACCACAAGACCCCGCCCCTGGAACTCCCAAGCAGGGAGTGTTGGGTCGCCCTGGAACTCACATCCTCGGCTGGATCTCGGAAACAATGGACAGGCAGTTGTCTGTGGAGATGGAGAAGCTGTGGTACAGCACCCAGGCGGGGGGCCTGGCCGGGGCCCTGCGGCTTCTGTAGCAGCAGGATGGGGACAGCTGGGCCACGTGCTTGTGGGTCAGGAGCAGGTAATTCCCAGTGCCATCCGTGTCTTGGGCCACCTCGTGGAAAAGAACAAGGACGTGAGGGGGAGAGGCTCATGCTGGAACGCACAGAAGCGGGGCTGCGAGCTCCTCAGAACCATCGGGGTGCTAGGGAGTTAAAGCAGCTGCTCCAGCGTCATTGGTCCCTAAACTGGAGTCCACGGAGAGCTGTGCACCTCTCTGGGGCCTGAACCCACCAATTGGTCACTGGAGAAAAGGCAGGCCCTCGTCTCCTGTGAGTCACAGCCTCTGAAGACCCTCCGGAGGCTCAGCTGGGAGTCTGACTCAGCGGTGAAGGGTCTTGGAGACCCTCTCAGTCATAGCCATGCTCATCGCTCTGTGCAACCCTCGACCTCGCTGTGTCTCCCGATTTCAAAGGCTCCTTCGGAGGACCTGCTTGGATCCCACCTGCAGAGGCCATCAACAGGCCGTCTCCTGGCAGGAGAGAGGAGGGTCTCTGTCCTTCCAGGTCCTCGTCCTCACCTGGAGGAAGTACCCAGACAGCAGTGCTTTCTGCAGGTCCCTGCGGTTCTGCTCGGAGCCAAAGGCTGGCCGGGACAAGGGCAGTTCAATCCGCTGCATGAGTTCCAGGAGCTCGGCCCGCAGCTTATGGGCTTGGCACAGCGCTGCCCAGCTGAGGCCACGCGCCTGGCACCACGCCTCGTCCTGCCCACCTAGCATGGGACCAGCAAGGTTCAAGTTCCCGAATCTGGGAAGGAACCCAGCCCTCAACCACAAGCTCCTCCTTGGTTCAGGGATCCGTAGCTAGGTGCACCCCGCTTCCCAGCTGGGGAACCTGGACTTCCTGGGCCAGAGGCCGCAGCGAGCCACTCACTCTGTATGAAGGCCTCATACACTTGGATCAGGGAGCTGTGGTCGCCGTCAGCGTGCTCCAGCGCGCGGCGCAGCGAGGCCTCCTCTGCACAGAGCGGGGGACGTGTAAAGCCCGCAGCAGCTGGAAGCAGAAAGGAGGGGGTGCTGCGGCCAGTCACGCTGGACAGGGCAGGCTTTGGGGAAGGAGGAGCTCTAGGGGGCAGTCCAGGCATCGCCATGGGGGTTTTAGACACACTGCTGGAAGCTGTGCAGTTTATTACCCACCCAGGACCAATAAAAGGACCCTCTGCTGGTAGAAGCTGCAGGGAGAGGTAGCAGGTGAGCGGTAAATGGACTGCTGTTCCGCGGCATTGAGTCCCCCTGTAACCTCCCCGGCTCTGATATGCTCCAGGCCAGCGGATACAGTGTCCATCCATCTCCTTAAGTGTCTCCCTCTCTTCCTCTGCCTCTCCACCTGCCCAGCATGACATTAGGTAAGCGGAGTAGGTGTGTATGTTTGGGACTTCAGAAACAAAGCTGAGGATCCCTAATCCAGGCTGTGACTAGGTGGGAGGGAGGGAAAGCAGGGGGCCCTTGGCGGCTGTGTGGAGTGCGAGGATGACCTAGCGCAGTGGTGAGGGAGGGGGCAGAGAGAACATTCTAGAATGCAGAGCAGCACTGCACAGAGCGAGTATCGTGTTGCAGTCTTGGAGCTGCAGCCGCTCGGGGTGCGTGGAGGAACGGCCTGTGAGGCAGAGCGGTGGTGCCGTGCACAGTGGAGTCGGAACCAACCCACAGCTGACGCCCTGGTGGGTTTTCAGAGGCTGGCTGTTGTCAGATTGCCCATCTTCCCACAGAGCAGCGGATGGATTCGAACCCCCTGCTTTGGGTTGGCAGTGCAACTCCTTACCACTTAGCCACCAGAGCTGCCTGGGGCAGAGCGGCAGGAGGGAGAGCTGGGGAGTCTGGGTCAGATCCCTGCAAGGCCCGTGCAGGCCCGCTGGGCTGTCAAAGCGGCTTGTCTCTGCCTTGAAGGTCAAGGACAGCTGCTGGAGGAAGCGTTCTTCAGTAACTGCATGTTTCAGAAAGCTGGGAAGCGCCTTGAGGGACCCCGCTGAGCGGCAACAAGGTCCTCAGACTGGCAGCAGCAAGTGTGACGAGGGGGAGAATTAAAACGGAAAATCAGGCGCCTGAAGGAACAGGCTGAGGCCAGGGAGCGACAGGAGTTCTCTGAACTCTGAAGGGAGGAGAACCTTTGGGGTGAGGGGGAGATTTACGAGAGTGTGGACTGCTCTGAGGTAGTGTGGACTGTGCTGGTACAAGTCAGGCATCAAGTGTGCAAATCCAAGAGGCAGAAGGTGGCGGCATCGTGGGAGAGACGCAGGCCTGGGAGTGTGGAGTGTGGAGTGTGGAGGTGGCCTTCCAGAGGAGGGCTGCTGACACATGTGGGGAGTGTTCAGGAACCCGGGCGAGTGGAGGGGTCAGGATAGAAGGCACCCTTGATGCAGGAGAGCCAGAAGAGGGTGAGGGAACGCCATGGGCAGGTGAAAACCAGGAGGGGGTGGCTTTTAAGGGAGACACTGCTCAGCACCCCAGTGTCAGAAGTTCGTGAAATCTAAGGCAGCATGTCTACTGGGTTTGGCATTAAGGTGGTCAGTGGGGTGCTTAGAGTGTGGGGTTCCCCGACGGTGGAAAGCAGGGGAGAGGAGCACACTGGACAGAAGAGGCTGGAGACGGAGCAGTGGGAACAAGGGGTTATGGGGTCCAAAGCCGCGGACACGGGTTTATACCGCTGAGCATAGCGGCCACGGTCAGCATTTCATCCACACAGCCAAACTCGCAGGAGGCCAGCAGGGCCTTGGCCAGCTCGGGGGCCAGGGGGAACTCGGACAGGATGATGCCCAGGTCTGACAGGTCCCCATCATCATCTAGGGCAGCCAGGTAATCCAGGTCCTCCAGGGCCTGCATCAGTGCATCCGGCGCTGGCGAGGAGACGGGGACCATGAGTTCCCAGGGGGTGTGGCCGACACGACACGGAGAGGGCACCGGGGTGCGGGGCACTGTGACCGGTGCTCACCTGGCTGGTCCAGGAAGTGCCACTCGCCCGGCTCTGCGATCTGCCTTCTCTTGAGAAGCAGCACCAGCTGGCTGAGGTTCTCCTCACACACCCGGGGTCGCGGTGTGGGGGGCGCGTCTGAGTCCAGGAAGGACTCAGGGTACAGGCGAACGCAGGACCCTGTGAGATGAAGGTCCAGGAGAATCTAGCACCCTGGGCTCCTCCCCAGGCCCTTTCCGGGTGTGCGCTCTAGAATGGTCTGCACTTACCTGGGGGGCATCCTGCCGCCCGCAGACGTCTCGCCTCTGCCTGGCACTTGCTGATGGGCCTCAACACTTGGGATTCAGCTCGGATCTGGGGGTTGTAAACCTGTCGACCGCCCCCAGCCAAAGTCAGGGCAGCCACTGGGTGGGTTCTACTTCCTCTCCCCACCATCCCCCTCACTCACACTCCGGAGCTCCAGTCCCGCGTCAATGACATGCCGGATGGAAGGGAGGGAGAAGGAGAAGTCAGCCAGCCAGTGGGTCACCACGATCCGGCGGGCCCCCGGGGCTGCATCCTCGTACACAGCCTGGACTGCTCCACCGTGGCTGGGGTGAAGGGGCAGCAACCGAGGGGGAAGCACGAGGGTGTCCAGAGATGCCAGCTCCCTGGACAAGGAGTCACAGCACAGGAAAATTTCCTGAGGAGTGGGGCGGTGTGAGGGCGGTCACTGATCTGGGCCACAGGTCCCCTGGGAAATGGATCTGTTAGCACCCTTCTACCAAGCCCAACAAGTGTACCCACCCAAAGAGGAGGAATGTCACTCACTTCCAGGCTCACTGCACTATACGGAAGCTTGTGGCCTCGTGTAAAAGGGCTGCATTGCCAACCCGAAGGCACGCGGTTCAGATCCCCCAGCTGCCCCACAGAAGGAAGAGTCTCCTCCTGTGTGGTTTCCCACTGCGGTCAGCTCTGGGCTGTTTCCCACCCTATAGCACCCCAAGCCACTGAAACACAGATCTCTTCATTAGAAGGAAGCAAGAACCAAGTAGGTATCTTCACCGCAAGGTCCTTGAATTTTCCCGAGACCCAGAGGAGCCTGTGGGAGCTGGCAGTGAGCCGGGCACAACTGCACTGCTGACCCCACGGCCCCCGGGGTCCCCGCTTTGTGGTCTCATCTTTACCTCCTCGCTGGGCAGGTACACGAGCACGTCCCCCGGGCTCTGTTCCCGGCACAGCTTGAGCACAGCCTGGCAGGCGGCTGCCACGCGGTCGGCAGGGACCGTCTCCCGGTAGACCACAGCCGGGCCCCAGTGATGTGGTCCAGGCACGTGCACCACGGGGGGATTGCCCCAGAAGGCTCGGAGCTTGGGTTCCAGGGCGGGGTCGGTGACCACCACCACTCTGGTGTCCCCTGGGAGATCCCCTAGCTTGGCCCCTCGCAGCAGGCCCTGGAGTGCGTCCGAGGCCACCGTCCGCTCCTGGGCCTCGTCCACCACCAGCACACCCCAGGCTCCCGTGTCCCGGGTGGAGGCCACCTCTCGCAGGAGCAGATTGTCCCAGCAGAACCTGGTGATGGGGGCAGTGGGCAGGGCAGTCAGTGTGGACACCGGCCAGCAGCTTCTCTGAGGGACCCAGGTTTTCAGACGAAGCCCGGGGGCTGACTTCTGTCTGAGGATCCATAAGCAGGACCCCACTGCCCACCGAGGACATTGTTCACGATTCCATGCCCGGGGCCTCGCCAGTCCCTGGGTGGAGTTAACAAGGATGTACCCAAAAGTTGCTCCACCCTGGACTGAGGGAGTGGGCTGGCTTGAGGGGGTGGGCTGACCCGAGAGGGGTGGTCAGGGCCGAGGGGGGTGGGCTG